TTTAAGCAATTATAATTATATAATCAAATAGCTTTCAACACATTTTAATAATCATAGCTTACATTATTATTATTATAAATAAACTATTGTATATCAATACTGTGTTTTCTATTATTTGTATTTGGCGATTGGGTGTTGTTGTGTGTTGTAGATTAACCTTTATTCCCCTGGAGTGTGGTTTTGATTTTAATCCCCACAACTTTTATGCACTTAATTACACCTACCCTTTAATCAGTTATACGTCATAGAGAGCTAGTCTAATTATTAATTCCCGGTCAAGTTTACCAATAATTTCATTTACTCCGGGACTAGTATTCTATACTACAAAAGGAAAATCAAAAGTTAAAAAGGCAGGTGGAAAGTTTGAAAAATAAACTTAATGAAAAGATAGTGAAGGTGGGTGAAATCCTAAAAGAAAATGAGAACAAAGACATGCACCTTCTCATGAATGAAATGGACAGTGTAGTACAAGAAAGCTACCCAGAAAATTCTTTTGGGAACAACAAAAGAACATTATAGCTAAAGCAGGGAAAGGATCTGGATACAGATGGCACCCAACAATCATTAAATGGTGTCTGTTTATGAAATCAAAGTCATCAAAGGCATACGCTGCTATGAGGGAAAGCGGTTTCATTAAATTACCTAGTGAGAGGTAGTGGTGCAACTCGCAAGAAAAATGCTACTCGAGTAGAAAGTGTGAAAATGCCACTGTAATCGAGTACCACTCGCAAAAATGAGGGAAAAATTTAAAAAAAATAAAAAACTCACCTAGTCGACTGTTTGAAGACCAAATAGATACAATTTCTTCGTTTCTTCTATATGTTATTGATGTTATATATAGTTTGTATCAATTTAGTGAGAATAAATGTAGTTATTCATGCCATAATTGTGTTTGTTGTTTGTTTTTAAATATATTAACATTTTGTTTCCCGAATCGATACTTTATTTCGTTCATTGCATACAAAAAAATCATCATTCCCGGGGTTTAAAACACTTCATAATAAAACATGCCTACTCGAGTTTGAAAAAACGTACTCGAGTAACTATCTTGGACAGGTTCAACGAGTGAGTGGCGAGTACTGGCATTCGAGTTGCACCACTAGTGAGAGGACATTATTTGATTATTCCAATTTCATATAAAAAGCGAGTGTGGTATTTCGCAAGGTGTGCTCAAACACCTTATAAAGGAGATCGCTGATCGAAAATTGAAAGAACATCAAAAGCTAGTTGGCCTACTTCAAGATGAAGTAAAGATCAAAGATGACATTTTCTATAACAAACACACTAGTGCTTTAGTGATAGACGGTGTAGCAAACCTGGGGGCTTTCGTTCGTTAAATCAAGCCAGTATCAAGAGACTCAAGGGAAGACAAGCTGGACCAGAGCTAGTGATGGTAAATATAGTTCAAACTTTTTGAACTCAAATTCTATAAGGGTCGTCCGTCGAATATCAGCGGGTGGGGTAATATCGGCGAATGTTGACAGTTCAATACCTTAATATAGCCATATTTTGATGATTTACAATGAATCCCCAATAAATTTGGGATAGATTTTTGCCATGGGCGCGGCCATTTTGGAATTGATAAAATCGAAATATCATTCCAAATATCGAACATCTTGAGATCTCACAAGGTAAACCATTTTAAAAAAAAATTATTCTTTGCATTAATTTTCCCATTTCGGATTATTTATTTATTGTCTAAGCCTAACTCTACAGCAGTGTTACATGTTTGTATGTATGGGTCAACAATGTGTATGTTTTTTACTACTTTCATGCAAATTACATTCAGAAATTGGGTTTCAATGGGCCTGACGATATTCCCCCGCAGGTAAAATTTAAAATTTTCAACTGTCAAACTATGAATATAAACTGTAAACTTCCAATTGGGCCTATATATATTTTTTAAAAATGAACTAAATTAATACTGTTTCTACTCCAATTCTAGTGTGGCCTGTCACAATCTCAGAATGCCCAGAAGATACAAATCTAAAGATATAAGAAGGGGGGGGGTACTCCCAAGAAGGGCTTGAGGCAGCTCTGTCAGCCGTTAGGGATAGGGGGGTCAGCATGTCGAGGGCAGGGAGGGAACATGGTGTTCCCAGGACAACGTTATCGGATTACATTAACAGAAAGTAAGCAGTTTTTTAAGATACATATACTGTACATACTGTACATGTACATGTAGCATGTACATGTATTTTGTGAAATGTATATGTTTGTGATATACTGTATGCGAATTGCTACAGCTACACATATATAAATATAGTATACTCTACATTGACTCCTAAGCTGTACATATTTAACGATTTTAAATTTCACATGTATCAATTCCTTTGTTCATTCACAGTAAATCTTACACTATTTGACTTTAAATAGCCTGTTTGTATGTTGTCTTTGACCATGATATTTTGTTTTTAAAATATTCATGTTTGTTATTTCCAATGTAAGGTCTCAGCTTGGATGTAGTCTAGGACGTAATCCAGCCTTAACTAAAGAGATGGAGACAAAGCTTGTAGATGAAGCTTTAAGTGCGGCAGATAGGGGGTTTGGAGTATCAAGACTCCAGATGATGACCAAGGCAGGTCGTATCATCCTTTAGGCAAGACTTGAGACCCCTTTCAAAGGAGGAGTCCCTGGAAAGGTGCTTACATTTGGAGAAAAAAATGTTGAATTGATTTTGTTTTTGAAATTTCTGTTTCTTTTTGCTTGTTGAGTTCTATTTGTTCCTTTAGTGTAATGGTTGCACACCTTGTGAAAGCAAGGAGGTGTTGGTTCGATTCCAGCAGGGGACAGAAATCACAAGTGTGAAACAAATTGTATCACAAATTTTTATGCATCAACATATTCCATAGGCCTATATCATTGAAATCATTCCTTTACAGTATCTCAATTAAGAATCCAATTAAAAATTTTGGATTTTTGTAAGCACCTTTCCAAACATATTACTTATAAAGAGTAAAGCCATGAGGACATGTAGTTGCACAACTCCATAATCTGTTAATTATTCCCATACAATCGTAGTTTTTAGAACTGTTTAGAGCTTAAAAATGTCATCCAGACTGCCAGAATGAGTATCAGAAAATCTGAAATTCTCTCCTTTTTGATGGACATCGATATTTTGACCCAACCCCTTAGTACACCTTTTTACATCTTAAATATATATGTAAGCCACTTTTCAAGCATTTTACTACCTCATTCATTCCCTATAATGGTTGTACAACAGAAGATCTATAGTAGTATATATTGCATGCAGATATGCAAGTTACACATTTGAAAGTACACACCCGGTGATCGTGAATATGGGACGGAGGGGGGAGCAGGCAATTTCTGCTAGGAAATTCAACAAATCTGGAAGATTTATTTTTTCAAGAAAAAGTTTACTATTGAAATGCTAAATGGATAGGCGCACGGTATGGTAGAATATGTTAGGTTTTCTGGGATTTTTTCTGAAACGATACGCATCTAAGGTATGAGATCTATTAAAAAAGGCGCAAGGCCATCAAAAGGCGCAAGGCCATCAACAGGCACAAATCAACGTTTTTGCTATAAATCAAGCAACAATGGTCTGGACGACCTGTAATAAATACTTGTAAGTGATGTTATCATAACTAAATTAATGTCATTGCTGAATTTATAAAATAAGTTTCCATATGTGAAATAAAAAATAATCGAAAATAATGAATTTGGGACGGAGGGGGGGAGGGGACTGTACTTAATTTTTCTTTTGCAGTGATCTAATTTCAGTTGATGATAATTTAGTTTGCTATTTCTTATTTAGGACTGGTTTGAAGGACTGAAAAAGAGGGATCCTAGAATTTCAATAAGGAAGCCTGAGGCATGTTCCTCAAATAGATGTTTATTGAAGGATGAGGCACTAGACCAGCATTTCTCTAGTCTTAAATTTCAGATAAGTCACTCACCTTGAAACAATATTGGGGTCAATGGGACAGGATGAAACTTGAGAAGGGAATGTTGTATAGAAAGTGGGTTGACACTGATTTGGGGGTAACCAATTGGCAAATTGTTGTACCAAAAGATTTACAAAATTTGATTTTAGAAGCCACTCATGAAGCATTGGATAGCGGTCATTTTGGTGTGAACAAGTCTGTCAGCAGGCTTCGTAACAAGTACTATTGGGTGGGGTTAAAGGCCGATGTGGCTCGTTGGGTAGCTGGGTGTGAATTATGTCAAAGGCGAAATCCACCTATTCGTAAACATAAGACTCCAATGAAGCAATACAAAGTGGGTGCTCCTTTAGAAAGGGTGGCAATTGACATTTTGGGTCCTTTACCAGAGAGCTTGTCAGGGAACAGATATGTGGTTTCCATTGAAGATTATTTCACCAAGGTATTAGCCATGGGTCCTGTTCCAAATCAAGAAGCTAGCACTGTGGTTTGGGCTTTTTTGAGACATTTCATTTGTTTGTATGGGTCTCCTTTACAAATCCACTCAGACCAAGGACGACAATTTGAATCAAAATTATTTAAAGAACTATGTGAGATGTTTAAGATGAGCAAGACCAGGACAACGCCTTATCATCCCCAGTCTGACGGTATGGTAGAGAGGTCGAATCGCACTGTTGAGGCAATGCTATCAAAAATTGTAGCGACCAACCAACGAGACTGGGACGTATAATTACCATTCGTGGTGACAGCCTATAACAGTGCAGTTCACGCATCGACGGGTTATAGCCCCAATTTTTTGATGTTTGGGAGAGAGGTAAGGACCTCTGTTGACCTTTTACTCGGGCCTCCTCCTGGGATTGAGCAAGGGGATTCGGATGATGATTATTACACCAAGTATTGTCAGCAATTGCAAGACATGATGCTCAATATTCATGAGGCAGCCCGAAATAATATTCAATTGGCAAGTGATAGGCAAAAGAGGGGTTATGATCTGAAAACCAATCTGAAAGCATACGCAAAAGATTCGCTAGTTTGGGTTCATATTCCGGCTGTAAAAGTGGGTCAAACGTCAAAGTTTGCGCTTAAATGGCATGGTCCATATCAGGTTGTGGAAAGATTAGACGATCTTCATTACCTCATCAAAATTAATGAAAAAGATAAGAGTCATTCACCACGACCGACTAAAAAAGTATGTTCCAAAAGTCGAAGAAAAATCTCCTAATGAACTTGAAGCAACTGGAGATGTTGAAACTCCAGGGGCGGGTGTTGATGAACCTGTCCAGGTCACGGGAAAGAGGGGCAGGGAACGCAAGAAACCAGGGTGGCTAGACGAGTATGAGACGTATAAGGGTCACTTAGGAGAAGAGTCAGGCCGAATAGTTTAGATATATATACGATATTATACTTTATAACCATATTAACCACCATTGTAACGACAAGTGCCTTTAGAGCCGCTCGGGTGTAAAAGTTTACACAGGAGGGGAGAGAAGGGCAGGATTCCAAATGAATGTATTTTGTTTCTTTTCAGGAGTGCAAGGAACAGATTCCACCACCCGCAGGTTGGAGCCGCGGGAGACCTTACCTATGTTGGAAAGTATTTGAATCAGAGGCAGCTAGGGATGTGCACATTGCTTGTGCCCATCGTCCGACGGAAGAGTGTGGGGTCGGTGGGTGTGGGGCAAGCTACTGCCCGAATGATGTGGAACGTTTACGGCTGCATCGCTTGAGGCAGCATGACATGTCGCTCAAGGATGTAGAAGCACCTCCCCACAAGAGTACTCAGGAACATTGCCCTGGTGAGCAGCCCTAAACCAGTCTCCTCAGCTGCTACTGTGACCTCAGCGGCCAGCGCCACCTCTACTACGGCGCCTGCGACATTGATTGTGCCAACCACGTCTGCCCAGGTGGTGGCTACGCCGTCCACTTCCACTGGCCAGACAGGGGGATCAGGGGGACGGAGGGATCCCCTGTGGTCCAGGTTAGACCAAGATACACTTGGTTGGATTCAGGACTGCCTTGACAAGAAGGAGACAGAGCAAGGGAATAAGGCAGATGATGATGTTGATGATGCATGGTCAATAGGGAGCCTGGAGTCCCTGGGTTTTAAGTTCGATTAGGACTGTGGCAGACAAAGACGATGAACATTTGATTTAAAACCGTGTTATTTTGGACTTTTGAGGCTAATTAAAGTTTGTAAGCTAGCAAAATTTAACTTTTGGGAATAACTGATTTAAATTATACCTTTTTTGACTTTTTCAAATTAACTTAACTTTTAGGCTGGAAAATTGATTTAAATTGTACCTTTTTCTTTAAATCTTTGGAATTCTTTTGTAATATATTGTAAATAATAGAAGTAGTAAGCAGAATGTGTAGTTATTGTCTTGGAACTTTGGCGTTTGGGGGCAAACGCATTTTACAAAAAATGTACAAATTTTACAAAGCTAATGGGCAACCTTGTGCAAAAGAATTCCTGACACACGCGTTACTGCACAGGCACTGGATGCAGGTGCACAACAAGATATTCTGTAGAGTGAAAGGTTGTTCTTACGCCGTGGCCAAAGGCCGGAGCTTTAAGATGAAAGAACATGTAGCCAGAAACCATTCTACGTCCCAGGCAGCACCTCCAAAAAGCCCCCCTAAGGTGATCCGCCGTCTACTGGACGCACCACCTATGACTCGCATAAAACCCTTTATGGATCTGGCAGTCCCCAACAAGTTGCCCCAGAAGATATTTAAAACCCCTGATAGTACCCCAAAGCGCCCCTCAAAGGGAGTTGATGGGCCCAAAATAACCTATATTAATACAGCTGGTTCTACCCAGTCCAACAGTCCCTCCCAGCTGAACAGGACCCATTCCCCTACCTTTGTGAAGGAAGTGGAAGAAAGTGTTGTGGCGGCGGCCACAGACCCTGATGTTACTGTACAGGCACCGAATACAGTGTCACAGTTACATTCCCCTACCTTAGTAGAGGAAGAAAGTGTTGTGGCGGCGGCCACGGACCCTGCCGGGGCCAGATGTTGATGAACCTGTCCAGGTTACGGGAAAAAGGGGCAGGGAACGCAAGAAACCCGGGTGGCTAGATGAGTATGAGACGTATTAGGGTCATCAAGGAGGAGAGTCAGGCCGAGCAATTTTAGATGTATAATCATTATTATATTTTATAATCATATATCCACCATTATGCTTCGTAATCACTTTGACCATCATGGTAATGATCAGTGTCTTTAAAGCCATTCAGGTGTAGAGTTTATACAGGAGTGGGAAGAAAGACAAGAAATGTCCATGAATGATCTATTTATTTTCAGGAATGTGAGGAGCAGGTGACTCCGCCTCAACACTGGCAAAAGGGGCGTCCTTATTATTGCAGAAAGGCGTTCGAGACCCAAGAGGCCCTGCGAGTTCATGTGGCATGTGCCCACATCCCTAGTGAAAGATGCGGAGTATTCGGGTGCCGGGCCAGCTTTTACCCGAATGAGGCTGAGGCTCTGCAGCTCCACAGACTGAGGGGTCATGTGTACTCACCTGTGGGAGGCACCCAGCCTTGTCGCAAGAGGCCACGGACCATTGTGAGGACCATCAAGGTGGAGACGGACAAGGCGTCAAGCCACGCCATGTCGCCAGCACCAGGGTGCAGCCAAGCACCGGAGAAGGAAGAGGCCTTGGACCAACTCAACGTGTCACTCGCGGCAACGGGTTTGACGGATACTGCGCCCGAGACTCAGCAGTTGGAAGATACTACAGAGCGTGTCCAGAAATGGCTGGACGGGGTCGAAAATGGACTGAAGGCTGAGAACAATTCCAGCCCTTTTCGTTGGTCAGTGGGTAGCCTAGAGAGTTTGAACTTCTCCCTAGGAATCTGAAGCCTTAGACTTGACTTAAGTGCTATGATTGGAGATACCTCAAGAGACTTTTGGACTTTGCGAATGTAATATCTTTTGCATCATTGCAATATATATTTTATCAACTCAATACTTAGCGGTGTTCTACAAACAAGACCCTTTAAAGTGGTTCATCACACGAACGAGTGGATTAATTCTCAGTTCTTATAAAAGTTTAAGTTGACATAAAAGTTTAGAATGTATAAAAATGCATAATGATGATTTTACATGTAAACTTATAAATTGGATCTACATAACCTACTAATGTCTGTTGACCAATGAACCGTGATCTCTACTGAAAATTGATAAGTTGAATAGAAAGTCAGTTTGAGATAAGACAAAAAATTATCATGTGCATGTGATATATGAATTCATATTTCGTTTTAAACCAAAAGATCTCAGAAAAGTGATGATAAATGCATTTTAAAAGTTACTTATGTACATGATGTTCATGTGAATTATTTTCAAATTCTCCTGTTATTTTGCTAAAAATAATACAACACAAGGACATTGAAAATGATGGACCTTTTTTATGTTTATAGGAGGTATGCTAATATTGATGAAGAATGTCTGGAGAGAATCAAGAGCTTTCTCCATGACCCCATTGCAATGGTACGAAAGCAAAAGAAAGTGATTGGATTTGGTGACCATTTCTTCAATAGCAATTTATATGAGGTATATTCTAGTTTCAGATTTATGTTTAAAACATTTTTCTATAAAGTTTTGAACCATATACCTGTATTTTGGGAAATTATATAATTTACCTTTAATGACATGCATTTGTCAAATTTGACTTTTGTCCTCTAATCAAAAATTGTTGACTTGTGTTTATGGATGGACTATACATATGTAGTGCGATACTCATTACAAACAGTTTGTGTGGAGTGGGGTGTATATATGAATGTTTGCTTGTTATTTTAGAAATTAATAAGAATTACATTCAGTCATGAATCAAAATGTATTAGATTGCGTTTGATATAACAAATACAAATAAAAAGTAATGATAAAAATGTTCATGCACAATTTATTTTGTGAACATGTTTTTGGTTACTAATGTAGTTTACTCTATAGGAATTCGTGGATCTCGCCCAAATTGTCATGACAACAAGAAGAGGTTCAGTGTTGGCTAGTAGGTAAGTACAGTATTTTAAATGATTTCCGGCATGCTTAATATATATAAATGAAACAAACATATGGAAGGTACTGTGTTTGCTGTGCTATGTAGGTTTAGAGACTTGTTTATGTGTGTTAAATGAGAGCTACTTTGTCTGTCAAAAAACTATAGAGGTTAAAACGTTAAAAATAATTATTTATTTATTTCTGTACTAAAAAAAGAAAGGAGGGTAGTAGTTTGTAGAATGAATTGGGGGAGTTTCGCTTCTGTTTTTCATCCGAAAAACATCAAAACACTTTAAAACATTTTATTGACAATAAGATTGCACCATATAATCCCAAAAAATATTTTGCATTTTTAAGGATTAACTTTGGATTAACACCCAGGTTTTTCCATTTTTCAAACTTAAGAGCACTGGGAATCATTGTGCTTAATGCTTTCGAACAATATGAAATGATGTTTTAAATAGGTTTCATATGCCAATAATTTCTATAACTGTTTAAACTAACACATTCCTTAATCCCATAGAAATCCAATGGTACAGTTCCAAGCAGATTTTTAGATAGCAATAAAGTAAATCAATAATACATATTGGGTAGTTTTTGTTTATATATATTTTGGTTTGGAAATTATTTTTCAGTCCTCCAATTCACAGAATTGATGGTGTAGTAGAGACTAACCCACTGATGCGGCTGTTGAATGAAAATCCATATGCATTGTGGTATGTAATATGATTGGCCTACATACATGACATACATATATTCTATATATTATTCTATATATACAAAGCAAGAGGTTCTTTCAGTAGATATCTTTCGGAAGAAGTAAACAATAAACAATATTGACATCAATAGGATGAAACATTTGTATTCAAACATTGGTGAATTTTGAGTAATTTTAATGTCACCTTCACAAGAAATCATTTGTTTGGACTTGATAAATTATAGAGCAATTTGACAAGGGCTTATTGTTTAACTGTCTAATGTTATGCATACATACATTAGTTTGAATAAAAATATATCAAATGCTCTATTTGCAGGAAAATTGATTTCCATCAATTTGTGCCATATAAGGAGATGTTGGTGAAAGGAGTGATGCTTCACCAAGGATTATGCTATAGCAAGGCAAACAAACTGTGCATGGAAACAAGTGTCATTGTGTAGATACTATGCTGTATATACTCTAATAATTTAGCAAAATTATGGACACTAAAATACAAAATGTTTTAGATTATCATTATCCCAATGAGCAAAGTTTAGTAGGGATAATATTTAAAGTGAAGCTCTCCATCCATCCAAAGACCTGTTGTATTGAAATGGCAATGCATTATTCTGAATTACCATCAACTTTTAAATCGATAGGCCTAAATAAATTTAATCATGCGTTACACTTCATTTAACTTAGCTTAAACAAAACTCAAAACATTTTCTGAAAGTTTGAAGCATAAAGAAGAATGTATTAGTTTTAGTGTATTACCATGGACTTTCAACTTGCTTTCTCTTGAAACCCCATGGTACTAAGTTTACACTACTAAGTGTTTTTTGATGAGGAAGAATGGCTGTCCCCATGAATAGTGAAGTATGTTCGATGTTATGTTATATATACTCTACATAAGGACTTTAAACAGGTTAGTTGCAGGTAACGGCTCAGTTTGTACAAGTTCAAAATGATAATTGAAATAGACAAGATGAAGACAATACTCTAATGTTATAATTTTGTTTGAAGATTTTGGAGGAACAGTTTGTTATGAGAGAGCTTTCAATAAAAGTCTATTGAAGGCCCATGAGAAAACATATATTTTAACTTGTAATTTCAAGGGTCTTGTAACACTTTTCATAAATATTCATCAA